CCACCCCGGAAGTGGCCTGGAAGGAAGTGGACAGTTGAATGAACCAATGACTGATGGCGTGTAGCAATTGATGTTCCAGCCATCACAAATTATTTTCAATGCCAGAAGCCCCCCTTTCCACATTCCAGGGGATTTGAGATTCTAAGTGTTCCTCCTGCGATCAGTTAGTTCCACGGGCCCCGTTTCATGGCAGAGGAGCTGGAGGAAGAGGGGCACAAAGCGGCAGACCTAATGAATGAGGGGGCAGGCGACCGCGCTCCCATCTCAGTGGCGAGCCGGGCGGCGCATGTGTCGGTGACTCCTGCTGCCTCCCGATGTGGGCACCGCCCGCTAATGTGCGGGAGAGCAGGTGTGGGACTGAGCGCTTACAATGCCTCTCAGAGCAGGGAGCTCAACATACCTTCCTCTTGTCGTCCCTCCTAACACCGAGGGTCTGTCTTTTTCATTCTCGCACGTGGTGGTGAGAGCCAAGAGCGCGGGTGTTTCCGGCCTGCAAGAGCACCCGCATTGCTGGCAGGTGGGGGCCCCGGTGGTCAGCTTGGGCAGAAACAACAGGGCCTTGGATTGATCAGGCAGCAGCCAGCCCATCTGGCTTCTGCTCCTGAGAAGGGGCCGGGACAGAGGAGCATCCTGCCTCCTCCTCCATTGCTGGGGGAAGGGACCAGCGTGGCTCACACACTCCTTCCCTGACAGAGCCATGAGGCCTTGGACTGAGGCCTCTCTTCCTCCCGCTGAGCCTGTCACCTGCCAGCCCCGGAGGTGTTTGAGGAGCAGGCAGTGGCCTTGTGTCCACTGGCACTAACCAACATAATGATCAAAGAAAGCACTCTACCTCTCAAGTGCTTCTGGAGCCCACATGAAGCGAGGTGAGGCAGCATTTGCATGTTTTATACGTGCCGTGGAAGTCAGGCAGCAATTCCCGCCGAATGGAAGCGTGCCCTCACTGGGCAGTCATGGTGCAGGGAGGGGGCAGTCACAGTGTGGGGCGGGGGCAGTTGGCAGCAGTCTCAGGGCCTGAGGCTGATGGCCTGTGTTGTCTGCAGCCAGTGGAGTCTCCAAACCCGACCCACCAGTCAGCTGGAGAGGAATGCGTGCAGAGGGCCTGAAAGCCAGGAGCGCCGGCTCTCTGCGAACATGCGTTTTCTGCAGCCGGATAAAGGCTCCTTTCACCCTTGACGCAGCATGAGACTCAACCGTGCCCGCTTCCTCCAGACAGCAGCCTGCCAGGCCCTGGAGGAGCCTATAAAGTGCAGGCATCAGTCTCCGCTGGCGAGAGGGACATTCCAGAAATGGTGTTTCAGAGTCGCCTCCCCTCTACTCACCAGCCCCCACAGGGCGGCGTGTTTATATTTTGGAGATGATCTCGGAGCAGATGGGGTCCAGGCAGGAGGGTGGCGGCTATGGCGGGCCTTGGGGATCACTCCACCTTCCTTCCTTTTGCAACAAAACCACTCCAGCAGGGACTGCTTTTCCAGCGGAAGGAAAAAGAAAGACAGCATGCTAGTGTTTTCAGATTTGTTCCTTGTGCTCCTTTGAAGTCTTTCAAAGTTGAGGTCTCCGGTGGGACAAGGAAGCTCATTGCACACCTGACTCCTGGGGCATCAGGGCGGGAAGGAAGGCCATTTCAGAGGAGGGCTGTCACCCAGGCCCCCAGCAGGGAGAGGCTCAGGGCCCTGCTTCTGTGGAGCCACCAGGGCGATTCTTCACACTCTCTTTATTGGACTACAAATGTCTTCCCAAACGAGCTCGCTCCTAATCTAATTAGCGGTAAACAGGCCTCCAGGGTGCCTCGCTGCTTACAGGACGGATGGCCTGAGCCGGAGAGAAGGGCTGTTATAGGGGAGACCGGCTGTGGCTTCTTTGCGGGGTGCAGTTGGGGCGGGTGATGCGTTGGCGGTGTTGTCTTCGCTTTACAGGGAGACAGAAGCAAGTGCGTGTCGCGTGGCCCCAGGAAGGCGTTATCCATTTGTTCTTTGTGTGTCCCACACGCCTGAGGCTCTCTGAGGACTGGGTTCTTTCTGCTCCGTTTCCACTGTGTCATCAGCTCCCGGCACAGGGCTCGGCGCACAGTAGGCCTTGGTGCACAGTAGGCCTCAGGCTAGTATTTGGTGATAGGTTGTTTGCACTTGCACCAAGCTTTAGAGGCAAACAACCAAAACATGAGGTATGTTCTGAGCTCAACGTACCTCTGGGCTGCCCCCTCCCCAGCCTGACTCCCCGTGCAGACGAAGAGGTTCCACGGGTAACGCATTTTAAAGGTTGGAAGCTTTTTTTTTTTTTTTTTTTTTTTTTTTTAAAGGGGGGAGCATAACCCATAGTAGCAAAAATAAAGAAGCCAAAATCAGCTTCATATTTAGCCTTGGGAGGCGGGGTTAGTAGTTTATGGCTTGCACACTGAAGCAGATTCCCTGGCACAGGGAAGAAGATGATAATCTAAAGACTAAGTTGTGCCCAGCCGGCATGCCTCAGTGGTTGGGCATTACCCAGGAACCAGGACAGGTCCATGGGTGGTATGGGCTCGGTTCCCAGTAGGGGACATATAGGAGGCAGCTGATCAGTGATTCTCATCATTGATCTTTCGATCTCTGTCTCCCTGTCCCTCCTCTGAAATCAGAAAAACCTATTAAAGACAAAGACTAAACAATGTGGAAATGATTATGATTAGTTCTAATTGTAAAAAGGGAGGATCACCAGTTGCATGCTTGATATTCATGTGACGGCCTTATGGACTCACAATGGAGGCGGAATGCCAGGAAAGAATGGAAAAACACTGAGAAAAGTTTGAGATGATGGGAGAATTTTTTTTTTTTTTACGTCTCAAAATAAGTTCTAATGTTGACTTTATGTATTCAGTGTTTTTCTAAGAAAAATATTAAAAGAATATTTCAAAACCAATCTTATACCCCAAAATGTTAAAACAATTCTCTCTGGGTGGTAGTATTAAGTGGAGTTTTAACGATTTGTTAATAATTTCTGCATTTGCTTATTTTTCTCTGTTGAACATTTAACATTTACAAGGAGCTAAAAGCAATGCAGCAAAGAGGCATTCTCCCCCTTCTCTCCTTTGGGGCAGACAGACTTCCTTCCCTGCGGGTCTGGGCAGTGGCCCTGGGACTTGCTTTGGCTGATGGGTTGATGGCCCTGCCTGAGTTGTGCGTGACTTTACTTGTGTCTGATCTGAATCCAGCCCATGGCTCTGCAGCATTTTCACAGCCATTAGCTCACTGAAGCAAACGGCCTTGCTTGAGATGGTTCCTAGCCTTATTTCCAGCGTTTCTGGCTAGGTGGCTTGCGTAAGGTGACACTGACAGGAAACGACTCTGCCACCTGTCCCCTGGGTGGCTGTAAAGCCAGGCTGTGCTGCGATAACATCTACATGACAGAGCTGCTACAGAGTCAACGAAGCAGTGCCTTGGTTTCCTTTAGCAGGTTTCCCTAGCTATTTGCTGAAAACAAAAGGAAGTAATCGCCTGTCTTCTATTATAACATTTAGCATATATGTGATATACTAGTAAGTTCCTTGAAAACAAAGTAAAAGAAAAGTTACCCAGAACCCTCCCGTCCAAAGGTACCAGAGTTACCCACTGATCCACAGCCTTCCAGTGCTCTTTTTCACCCATATACACACAGCCTATCTAATAACGAGGGGATATGCAAATTGACTGTCACACCATCACAAAGATGGCAGCACCCAGTGCCCTCAGTCCCACCAGAGTATCCAGTCCTTCAGCCTAGCCAGGGAGGCAGCAGGCACATGTTGCAGTCAGTCCAGCCCTCAGACCCCACACCGGCCACCCAGGACCAGCCAAGGTGCAGGTAACCAAGGCTGGCTGAGGCTTGCGCTGCCGGCAGTGGCAGCAGCAGAGGTGTGATGGGAGCCTTGCCGTCTCCTGATCGCCAGGTCGCCTGAGGGCTCCTGGATTGTGAGAGGGGGCAGGCCAAACTGAGAGAGCCCCAATCCAGTGTATGAATTTTCATGCACCAGGCCTCTAGTATTATATATTCACAACACTGGATCATGCATACCACTTTGTAACATGCTTTTGCCCCTAAAAAATGATCATAAACACAGTTTCTTGCCAATAAATGTGTCTATAACAGTGACACTAATGATTGCATATTTCATTTTATGAATGAAATATTAATTTTACATATCCAATTCCCTATTTTTATTTTTTAATCCTTACCCCAGGATATTCTTTCCATTATTATTATTATTATTTTTTTTTTTTTTAGAGAGAGAGTGAAAGGGAGGAAGAGAGAGAAAACTGAGAACTAAACCTGCAACTGAAGTACGTGCCCTTGACCAGGAATCGAACCCATGACCCTTCCATCCATTGGCTAATGCTCTAACCACTGAGACAAATTGTCCAGGGCATCTAATCCTCTATTTTTCATTTCTTTTCTCATTTTTGCTATTATCATTATCTCTTTGATGAATATTCATGGACATAAATTCTTAAGCAAGTGACTAGTCAGTATTAAAGGTAAATTTCCAGATGTGGAATTACTGGTTAAAGCCACAAACATCTTACTGTCACTTTGTACATATTGCCCAATTGCCTTACAGCAAGCATGTCAAACCCAAGGGCTAATAGGGGCCAAATAACCAAGACATGTGGCCTGCAGGCCCTGAGTTTGACATGCTTGCCTTACAGAGAAGTTCCAACACACCCATTGTACCATAATCCTGCTAATACTGGGCCTTCATCCCTTAACCTTTGTCTACTCGATAGATGACAAGTGATATTACAAGTGATACTACACTATCGTTTTAACTTGTGTTCCAACAAGACGTGCTGGCTCTCGTTCTGAGTCTGTTGTGACAGCGCCCTCGCATCGTTGGAAAGGAACGGAACTGGAGCGGGTGCGCCTTTTGTGGCAGATTTTGCTGAGCAGGAAAATGTGCACCTGTTTGGAGTTGGCATCGCATTTAGAGAGCGCGGGGGAAATAGACACAAGGCCAGCACAGCCAGGGGATTCCTGCCAACATTACTTACCAAGGACATCTGCGAAGCCGTGAGCCACTCCGAAGGGATGTGGAAATGAGCCCCAGCGGAGTCTCCCAGCAGCACGATTCCCCTGGGCTCTGACCCTGGGAGGCACAATTCAGTTGTGTTACTTATGCTCTCGTGGTCTCAAGCCTCCAGGCCGCGCAGTCAGGGCATCAGATGCCCCCGCGTGTATCCCCCGCACAGGGCACCGCAGCAGGGATGCCAGGCCGCTCTCGGTGAGGTGCAGGGTGAGGGACAGCTCAAGGAGCTTTCCAGGCCATCGAACCCCGAGCTCAGCGGTAGGAGGAAGCAGGAAGTTTGTTCCCAGCTCAGCAGGAAACAAACTGCCGGGAGACACCAGAGTGGAAGACGAGTGAATAAAATGGATCAAAACTTTATCTGGACTCAGCAATATGCCCTCAATTCTGGTTCTGGAAATTGCTTTGTGGAAAATGCACCGATTTCTGATATAATTCACTTTAAGAGTTACTGATCTCATGGAGCAATTCTGATTTATCAAACATGTGATGGGCTCTGAAAGCACTTAATCCATACACGCAGAAGCACCGGACAGGCGATTCTGGCGATTGATGGAGCGACAGCCTCATGAAGGTCTCCGGGCAGCCCGAGTGGGTGGAGGTAAGGAACCACTGAATCGGATCCTGGGCCCATCTACACAAATCATCTCCCCGTGGGTGGTGCACGGACACTTCCAAACGCCTTCCGATCCTGGGAGAAGGAACTGATGCCTCCTTCCCCCATGAGCACCCTCACCCCCCAAATCAGCCTCACTCCAGTGGCTTCCTGTCTTGGGCCTGTGACAGCTAGTCCTTGGCCACCCAAATGGTGAGAGGGAAGGCCCAGGACACCTGGGAGGGATTGGGACCAGGGAATTCAAGAGGCTTCCCTCAGGGACCCTAAAGGCCTATGCCAGGATCTCCCTTAGATCCGAGTCTATTTACTCATTCGTGTATTTCTTCATGCATTCTTTGATTCACACCACAAGCATTTTTAAACTGTGTAACTAGGCATCAGGTCTTTGCTTGTCCTGCCCCCTTCCTGACCCTCTGAGAAGGGAACTATAATTAATTATATTTAAGCTGACTGAGAGCAAGGACTGGATTATGTCTGCCCATGAAAACTCAGAGCCAAGTATAGCTCTTGATACTTAAAAGAATAGATATTCAGGGAATATCTGTTGAATGAATGAATGAATGGAATGAATGATGAATGGATGAATGAATGGAATGCTTCTAAATGTTGGGGAAAACCATTGGCTAGACCTAAAACAGCGATGCTACCACAGGGTCTCGTTGGGCATCACCAGGAGTGGGTAGTGATGATTCCTCCTAACAGCACTGGTAGCCCAGATGGCCCAGGCACTTAGGATTTAGAATACAGAGCTCAGCTACTTTGGGGAACTCCAATGGCTGCAGGCTGGGGTGTTCCCTGAGTCACCGGGTGTGAGTCTTCACCGGGTTGGCAGGGACTCTGTCAGTGTAGGCCCAGGAACCTGAGCTTGTGTTTTGAGGAGGACAGAGAGAGGAGGACAAAGTGTCACCCGCACTGATTTTCTTCCCTGGGGAAGTGCTGGGTTCAGTTACCCTGTTTGCTACGCTGTGGCTTTTTCTAACGTTGTTATTCAAGTTCCCAGTCCGCAGGAAAAGGAGTCCATTACACAAATTCAGTTTTGCTTTCTCTACATCCTGCCTCCTCTTACTAGAATCCTTTTCATCTCCCCTTTGGATTCCTCATGAAAATAAATGTCAACCGGTCGTGTGTAAATCCTGGCGTCAGGCACTTCCTCACTTGGGTGGTCCGTTCCCTTCAACTGCCTCAGACAGGAAAAAGCATATTCTGTTGGGACAAACAAACAGACTTTTACATTCTCACCTTCACAGAACTTCTTCTCATAGGGGATTCCGTCTTTTGGATCAACACCCTTTAAAAGAGAAACGACAAAATTAGCCATTTGTCTTTGAATTTATGAGACACATATACCAAATCCTCCCCAAATGGCTTTAAACAATAAATAATTTAAATTAAAAAAAATAGTTGAAAAGGCAAATCAGTAGATAAAACCTTTAAAGTCTCTCTAGTCCTTAATCAGACACATGTGAGGAAGCTGGACTCTAAGGAACTGGGGTCGGGGGGTGAGGAGAGGTCCAGACCCTGGACTACCTTGTCCCAGAGGCTGCCAGCAGGCACTGGAGTGCAGGGCTCCACCAGTGACCGGGCCAGGGCAGAGCACAGTGTCTTACTGGCCTTCCTCACGGTGGCATACCCCAGAGGCAGGGATGGAGCCATGGGACAAGGACGGTCTCACACACTGATCACCCCTCTGTCCCCCAACTTGACAACATAGCTTGAATTTATCAGAACAAGAGCGGCCTTGGGGGTCTTGACACTTTAAGATCTAGGGGGGATGTCTCCTCCTCCTCATGACAAGGCAGGTATCTGGCAGGTGGGGTGACCCTCCCTCTGACTAGCCTTAGGAAAAAGAAGACAATGGCTGCCATGACAGGGGGACAGCCCGCGCTTGCCCAAGGCGATATTCGGGTTGCTGCAAAACTTTGCTAACACCACTCTCCGCTAATTTCACACTCAGAGGAGAGTTCAGAGGTCAGGTGTGGGGGACCTCTAGCAAGGCTGATAGGGGCTGCGATGATAATTGGCCAACTTGGCTCAGTGGTTGAGTATTGATTTATGAACCAGGAGGTCATGGTTCAATTCCAAGTCAAGGGCATATGCCCAGGTTGTGGGCTCCATCCCCAGTAGGGGGTGTGCAGGAGGCAGCCAATCAATGATTCTCATCATTGATGTTTCTCTCTCTAGTCCTCTCCCTTCCTCTCTGTAATCAATAAAAAATGTATTTTTTTAAAAAGGGTCTGCGATGAGTAATCCCCTCCTCCCGTTAGTGTGGAGCCCTCGTGTGTGACCAGAGCCCTCCACCCCTCTTCCCCGCAGCAGAAAGCTGCCTCCGGCCCGTCCTCTTCCTCGGGTGTGACAAACGCAAGGAAGGAGCGGGGTCGGGAGGCAGGAGGTCGCCTCTAGCTGCTCACCCAGATGCCGTTGCAGTTGGAATCCCGATGCACATCCCAGCGGTCCGGCCTGCAGGGAGAACACAGCATTGGTGTGGGGCACTCACTCGTCACTCAGTGCCCAAGCGTCATGAGTGCATGCACATGGGTGCCACCCACAGTGTCTGGACAGACAGCAGGCGGCTCAAGGGAGACAGCCCACGCCTCTGCTATCTTGGTTCGGGGTGTTTGCTGGGAGCTGTGGATGAAATCCAGGCTTTTCGGGGTTGACTTGGTCCCTGAACTGCGTGGCCGGGAACAGGGCTGATGGGCGCCCTAAAGGAGCCTGCAGGTCACTGTGGTTAGGCAGGCAAGGCCGTTGAAGGGCTGCCTCTCCCACCCTGCCACCTGGCTAATTTGATACTTTGGCACCAAAGTCCCAGCTGAGGTGACACATCCATTTCCGGAACTGAAAGATGTGATTGGCTGAACACCAACCCACGACTAACAGGTGGCATGCTCCCCTCAGTCCCGGTGGGAGAGGGGCTGTGGGGGCCCAGCCCTGCGGGCAGGACGCGGGTAGGAGGCTGGTGCCATCCTCAGGCACTGCTCACATGGCTGCTGCTCCCACGGGGCCATGAGCTCTGAGGGGAGTCTTTCTATCCCGTTTACCCCCCCGCGGGGCTCCCTGAGCCTTTCTTGCACAGACGATGCTCTGGTTTCCCTGAGCTTCCCTTCCATCAGGCCGTGGGGGCGGGGGCGGGGGCGGGGAGGGGGCCTTCCCTCTGCTGGTGGGAACCCCTGTGGCTAGGGAAATGAGAGATGCTTCCTGCCTCCTTTCAGGAAGGTAATTTTCAGAACCAGTGACCAGCGGAGACAGTTACCTTCTGCCGGGGTAGGCCATCTCGTCGCTGTCATTGCAGTCTCTCCCTCGCCAGTGGTAGCCACGCAGGGTCTGCAATCCGAGGGCAACGTGGGGAGGGTCAGGTTCTGCGTTGATGTGAAACGGGGAGGGGCAGTCGGAGCTGCGGTGGGGGGGTACTGACACCTGCAGTTTTTAACTCCAATAGTCTAGGAACACTAGCGATCACGCTGAGTGAGGAGAAATGTAACGTGGTCCCTGGGCCAATGACAGGTGGGGTGTGTGGCTGTGAATGTGTGTGGATGTGTGTGTATACATGCTATGGGGTGTGTGCCTGTATGAGGTTGTCTGGGGGCTGCACGTGTGTGAATGTATGTGTATGTGGCACATGCAGTTGTGTATACACGTCTTTTACATATGTGTGCATATCCACACATATGTGTGTGTTCCTGTGTGTGTCTTATGTGCACTTCTACCAACTGCAGAACCATCCAACTCCTTGAACTTTTTTTTAAAAATATTTTTTAATATATATTTTATTGGTTTTACACAGAGAGGAATTGAGAGGGACAGAGAGTTAGAAATGTCGATGAGAGAGAAACATCGACCAGCTGCCTCTTGCACACCCCCCACTGGGGATCTGCCCGCAACCAAGGTATATGCCCTTGTCCAGAATCGAACCCCGGACCTTTCAGTCTGCAGGCCGACGCTCTATCCACTGAGCCAAACCGGTCCTGGTTGTTTTTTTTTTTTTAATTTTTTTTAATATATATTTTATTGATTTCACATAGAGAGGAACTGAGAGGGGCAGAGAGTTAGAAACGTCGATGAGAGGGAAACATCGACCATCCTTGAACTTTTTAAATTAATTACCAGTCTAGTCAGGCTCCAATCAATTGATTGATTTGGTCAGATGTTTAATCATTTCACTGGATAAGTAGAAAATCTCTAGCTACTGTAGCCGATCACATGCATTTATTGTATGCTGGGCCTGCCTGATTTGAAGACATGATAATAGAACAGATTTCACTTCCCCCTTCCCAGGTGGGGTAGCTGAGCTCTCTCACTAGGGGGGACTTCATGGCATGTTACCTGCTTGTTTCTTTCCCAAAGAACACCCTGACACTCCCTGCTCTCACTCAAACACACCCGCTGCCGAGTCTCACAGGCACACGCGCACACACTTAGGAAAGTAAGTTGAAGTAGGCTTCAGAATTTCCAAAATAATTCCCAGCGGGCTGCAAAACCATTTCAATCCCCGCAAAGACTCCTGGCTGGGAATGGCTCCAGGAAACAAAGCCCAGGCCTACCGTCCCCTTCAGTGACTCATGCATTATTCAGGCACCAGCAAGCCGGATAGGACTGTGAGATGGCGTATTATCAGGTTAATAATACACTCCGGGGGAAGCCTTCTCGTCTTATTAAAAGGATTGTAGGAAGCGATGCAGAAGCCAAGGACCCTCTAGCTACCTGCACCATGCTTACCGGGGAAATACTGTAATTGTCCGAATCGCCATCTCTGAATGGCACCGCGTTCTTTATAGCTCTGGAAGAAAGAAAACACAGCTCCTGGTGAGCTAAGAAAACAGAAACTGTTTGTGAAAACAAAGAGACATTTTCTGATGTAGCTGGGCTGGGTGTATGGGACAAAAGCTCATTCTCGTAACGGAATAATAAGAGCACCAGGCTAACTTAGCCAGCCTCTCCCCCCACCATCAGAGCTGTTTCCTCTCTGATGCTTAACTCCTCCCTCCCCCCTCAGAAAGGAGATTGCGTTTTCAGTCCAGTCGGTGCGCTAGACACTTGCAGGTTGAATTTGTGCCATTTGACACAGCCGTTGGTGATGGAAGTCTTTTCTGAAAACTTTCCTCTTGAGCAACTTGTGCTGAGAAATTGAGGCATAAGATACGACAGTCTGTATGTATTACATGAGGCAATGCATGTGTGGGTTTGTTCACAGGTGCACAGGGAAGAGGGCCTACGAAGACAGGGCAGAGACTGAAGGCATCCAGGACACCGAGGCTCACCGGCCAGCTCCCAAGGCTGACAGGCAAGCAATGATCCAACCGGGAGCCTCAGAGGGCAGCTCAGAGTGAGCTGAGCCTCAGAGGGACCCTGCAAACACCCTGCTTTCAGACCTGCAGCTTCCAGGATGGGGTGAATAAGCCCCCCAGTTTTTGGATGTTATAATGACTCTGTAATCCAGTCCTACAGCCTGCCCTCACCTCGGCATCTCACCCAAAGGCCCTTGCAATGCAAGCTAGGCCAGCCTAAAATGGGCTCCAGTACAGGCCTGGCAGAAGCAAGGATGAGAGCAGAGGGGCGGGTGGGACGGTGTGCCCCAATGAGCACCTCACAGTCCTAGAAGCATCCCCTGATCAGGGAGCATCTCCGCTTCGGCACCTGAATAGGAGGTGAGCTATGGGAGGACAGAGGCTGGGAGCCTGGGAGAACACACTGCTCTCCTGCCAGGTCTCAGGCCAAGAAGTCTGCATGTGAGTCAACCCCAGTGACTGAGGAGCAGCCATAACTTAGCATATACCTTACAGTAAGGTTCGGGGAAACTGAGACTCAGAGACATTAAGTGCTCATTTTCAAAGCTGGCTCAGGAGACAGCATTGCTCAAGAGCCAAGAACGTGGATGTTCCCAAAGATCATATGGGGTCCAGTACCCTGGGGGTAGGGTCCTTGGTGGCTGGGAGACAGGACTTGATCAGCAGCCTGCATCCCAGCTGTGGAGCCTGCGTTGTTCAAAGCTCAGGCCCTGTCTCTAGGTTGTGGATGGTGATGAGCAAGAAACACATCACTTTCAGAAAGATGCTTTCATGCTGCGACCCTTTTCGCTCACAGAAAACAGGGACAGATGCTGCCCCATGCCATGGAAGAGAGGAAGTATACGTACCGCTTAATTTCCTGACAGACCTTAGCCAGAAATGGGAGGGAACAAATATCAGAACCACCTCTGGAATATTTCTGGAGAGGAAAAAAAATAAGGAAAAGAGCTGTTTAGTTCAGGGAATGGTTCTCCAACTCCAGGAAGCCCTTCCTTTGGCTCCAGGGTCAGGATTCCTGAATTCTCCCTCTGCAGAGCCCAGGCCGTTTGACTGAACTGAACTTACCACCTGTTCCTGTGCCCACGCTCCCGTCATTCCATGGTGGAGCCAGTGTTCAGGCTCCTCCCTCAGCCTCAAGGCTGCCTCTTTCTGTCCAGCTCAAGAAAGCACCACCTCCACTGTCCTCCTCCATTTATCCACCTTCACCTGTCCTCCTCTACCTGTCCACCTTCACCTGTCCTCCTCCACTTGTCCACTTCCACCTGTCCACCTCCACCTGTCCTCTTCCACCTGTCATCCTCCACCTGTCCTCCTGTACCTGTCCACTTCCACCTGTCCACCTCTACTTGTCCTCCTTCACCTGTCCACCCCCACCTGTCCTCCTCTACCTGTCCACCCTCACCTGTCCTCTCCACCTGTCCTCTCCACCTGTCCTCTTCCACCTGTCCTCTTCCACCTGTCATCCTCCACCTGTCCTCCTCTACCTGTCCACCCTCACCTGTCCTCCACCTGTCCTCCTCCACCTGTCCTCCTCCACCTGTCCACCTCCACCTGTCCTCTTCCACTTGTCATCCTCCACCTGTCCTCCTGTACCTGTCCACCCCACCTGTCCACCCCCACTTTCCACCTCTACATGTCCATTTTTACCTTTCTACCCCCACCTGTTGACCCTCACCCATGCTTCCCCAAAAATCTGGCCCACCTGGGGCCGATCTACTCAGACAATTCCTCTCCCTCCTTGTACTCCAGTGCTTTGAAAAAGAATTAAAAAATGAAGAACATTTTCAAATAAAATGCTTCCATCCTCTTAGGAGGCAAATCAAGAATTTGCCTAAGGAGAGCCATGCCAGAGCGTGGGAGGGAGGAAGGCAGTGCCATGCAGTCCCCAGGTGTGGCGAGCAAGGGCGTGTGGGCTCCACAGGGCTCCATGCTCTGTGAGGCACTGAAGCCTGGCCTTTGCCCAGCCGTCCTTCAGGAAGAGTGTGGCTTCCATGCTGCCCTCCGCAGAAGGGAGAGGAATGGAGGGTCCTGCCAGCTGGGGCCTGTCTCCACAGAGCTGGTGAGATTGTGAGCCTGGCAGAGTTCTGGTTGTCCACCTTTTCACCACACAGTGTGGGAACGACTCTCCTCTTCCCTTTCCCTGCAGAAAGCACTGAGACGCACACCGAGCAGCACTGCAGAGGCCCGGAGTGCGTGCTTGCCAGCCCCTCTTCTGATCTGCACTTGGCTGGACAGAGGCCAATGTGTGCTCAGCTCAGCCAGAGTTCACCGTGTTTCTCTGGCAGCATGCAATCCCGCCTACAAGGACAGCCTGGAATTGGCTGTCCCGGGCACACCTTCATCTTGCTATCCATTTCACCAGCTCCTGCTTGCATCCGTGTTTCCCCCACACCGGGATGTTATAGAAAAACAGAAAAACTGAGGGACGCCTGGTGAATGGGACAAATCTGCCCCAGCCAGCCTGTGGAATTTCCCTTGGTGAAATGGTGATCCACGCTTGTGCATTATTTTACTTGGGTTCACACAGTCTGGGGTGGAGCAGCTGTTTTTAAAGGCGTCCCAGCAGATGTCATTGAGTGGGTAGGTGTAGGGTAAGGGGCATCATGTACAGTCCCAGGCTGTGCACTGCATGACCCTAACCTCTCCTGAGCCTGTGATGTGACTCTTCCTGAAATTTAGCACCAGGAGGGCCGGTTGAGAGCCACTGACAATGCACGAAGGGCAGGAAGTGGGAAGGGAGTGAATCTGTATTTAAATGATGGGTCTCTCACTCAGTAGTTGTGGGGAGTGAGCCAGTCGCTTCACCTGTCTGGCCTTGGTCCTCTCACCTGTACTGTGGTTAATCATGAGGGTAAGCTATGGACTCCACAGGAGTTTTTGTGAAATTAAATTCAGTGGTTCCACTACTCGGGTACTCCAAGCCTCCCACACCCAGTGTCTGCCCCATCCTTGCACGATGCTCCTGGGGCCTCTCTGGGCCTCTGGGCAGTGCAGACCTTCTCCAGAACCTTCCATTCCTGTCAACAACGCAGACCTTCCTCAGCCTGGGTCCTGGCATCTGACGGCAGACAGCTCTCTGCATTTCTCTCCGCATCCTGGCTGGTCTACAGCTCTGTCGGCCACTGACATGGAATTCACTGCTGCCCATAACCTCGGAGCATTTTTTCCAAAAACATTTATTTGCATTTTTCTGATTATTTTTTTTCCTTGAGAGCTTTAATCTGGAGAGTAAATAAAGTGGAGGAGGCTTTTGAGAAGTCTGTTATTGTTGAATTGTTCAGTAGGGTTCTGTTCTCTGGCTTCGTGCGAGGAATTATTGGAACCCGGCCCTAGGAAGTGCGCTCGCAATTCTGATGACAGAAATAGAAAACTGTAAAATGCTAATTAGCCCTTGAGCTAATGCCACAGCAACTTGTGCGAGTGCGGACACCACGCCCTGGGAATAAGTTCTGAGATGCTGCTGAGAAGGATAAAGGGAGGATTGTGCCATCTTCAGTTCTGTTTAGAATGCCGAAGTGCTGGTCAAGGGCTTCGAGCCCTGTTTCAGTTTCTTGCTCAGTGACTGACGCAGATGAGCTGAAATACCTCCAATCGGACTTCTGTGATTCACGGAATTAAATATCGATCGGCAGTGGGGACATGGTGGCCGGTTAATGCATCCTGAAGAAATGCCTGCGTGTTGCCATGAACCCATATATCAACCTTGGACATCAAAACCCCGATGCCCCCCACGAGTAATGCTGCCAGAGAAGATACGCACTGGACATACGTGCACGTGCTACAAACTCTTCATCTTTATCTGAAACTCCAATGGAATCGGGCGTCCTCTATTTGTATCTGCTCCATCTGGCGAGCTGAGCGGGTTGCCAGTCAGTACTGCCTTCCTGGTAGAGCATCAGGCGAGTGGTGAGCTGGCCAGCAGGGCGAGCCCTGTCCTTATCTCCCCAACGGCCACTTCCTCCTGCCAGGGCTCAAGCATCCAGGAGGGAGACACATATTTTTTTTCTTTTGGTTAATCTTCACCCAATAATATTTTTCCATTGATTTTTAGAGAGAGTGAAAGGGAGAGGGAAGGACAGAAACATGGATGTGAGAGAGACACATCAATTGGTTACCTCCTGCACACACCCTGACCAAGGCTGGGAACCTGCAAGCGAGGTATATGACCTTGACCAAAACTGAATCCAGGGCCCTTCAGTCTACAGGAAGATGCTCTATCCACTGAGCCAAACCGGCTAGGGCTGGAGACACATGTTTAAGGGTCTTGCTTCCTTTTCAGCGAGGGCTGATTTGCAACCAGAGCATAAATCTAACACCTGGACTAAGGACCACTTATGTGAACTAAACATTCTATCCGTTGAATGAACATATTATTACAAACAGGACAAATTAGGGAGAGGAATCATGTGGTGACTTCACTGGCATTTACAGAGGGCTCGATAAATCCCAGGCCTGCTTCTATGTGCTCTGTACACATCTACTCCACTAGTCCTCACATCCATGATAGAAACATGTTACTGCCCCATCTTACTGACAGGAACAGGTTACTGCCCCATCTTACTGACAGGAACATATTACTGCCCCATCTTACTGACAGGAACATGTTACTGCCCCATCTTACTTATTGGAACATGTTACTGCCCCATCTTACTGACAGGAACACGTTACTGCCCCATCTTACTGACAGGAACATATTACTGCCCCATCTTACTTATTGGAACATGTTACTGCCCCATCTTACTTATTGGAACATGTTACTGCCCCATCTTACTGACAGGAACAGTTATTGCTCCATCTGACTGACAGGAGCACCGAGGCTCAGTCTCAAGTCTCATGTGTAGAAAGGGGAGGAGTGGGAGGATACACAGCCTCCAAAATGGCCTACTGCAGGGCAGCAGGTCTCAAGGGCGCTCAGAGGACAGGGGGCATCAGGAGACACTTTGGTCATCAGGACTGGGGAGGGGTGGGTAGCGATGCTGCCTTCTAGTGGGTGGAGAACAGGGGTGCAGCCACATCCTACAATGCACGGGACAGCGCCCAGGACCATGGGCTAGTCTGCCCCAGACGTGAGCGGTGCAGATTGGGAGGGAGGGTGGGAGCTTCTATTCCCACTTCAATCCCAAGTCAACCGCGGTGCCTTGTGGGCTGGACTCAGAGCGGCTGCTGGCCTGCGAGGCGGGAGCAGGGCCAGAGGGAGGTCAGCGTGCCTGGGGGGCTGGCTCTCTCCCGGTGGGCCGCTTACCAGAGGTGGAGGTTTCTTGACGATCTGCCTTGCCTTCTCCAGGGTGGATTTCCAGGCGTCCTAGAAAAGCAAAGTTAGACCACATTACCCCTTGCTCTTCTCTCTTCTTCCTACATCTTTTCTAAAGTTAGGGCGTTTTCAAGTTTGCGAGGTTGAAACAAGGAGGTGAGTCCACAAATCTGTGCTAAATCGAGTCACACAGAGGCAATGTCATGGCAGTGACGATCTTCAGGAGGGGCTAGCCTCTGTGTGGGTGCCACGGGGAGTCCTCTGCACACAAGTCCTCCCTCAGTCCTCCCCCCAGCTCCAAGGGAGCGGGCCTTTCCCCAGACAAGGACATGGGGACTCGGGGAAGCTAAGGAACCGGCTGAAGGTCACAGCGCCGGGGTCTGGCGGAGCCTCAGTCTGAACACCTGCCTTCCTGCCCGAGAGACTCTCCCATCTCCCCAAGGATCCCGTGGCCTTGTGCCTGGAAGCCCCAGAGTGGGGGCCCCAGCTAATCCCAGGCCTGTCCCATAGCCAACAGCGAGACTAACGAGGACTGCAAAACCCATAGAACCCTCAAAAGCCACAGGATGGGGGAGGGCCCAGGTGGAGGGTGAGTACACACCTGTCCTCCCAGAGTCTCCAGCGGGCAAAGAGACAAGATGGGACACGTGCAGGAAACAGAGGGGGATGACGCCGAGGGGGCTCGGCAGTCCCTTCCTGGACCCCCTTGAGGGGACAGGGGTGGCTGTCACTCAGCTCAGTTCTCGGGGGGATGGCTGAGCAGTGAGGGAGGAGAGACCAGAGGAATAAAGTGGCCGGGGCTGCCCCACATGCCTCTGACCCCCTGCATGCCTCCGTGGTCCAGGCTGAAATGCCGAGGGCAGGCTGGTCTGGACCTGGCCTGCCCAGGGCTCCATCACCAAGTGCGGCGATACCAACAGGCAGAAGGGAGTCCAGATAAAGGGATGGTCTTTTCTCCCCAGAAGAAAAAGGGTGAAGGGTCTCCGAGCATCTGGGAAAGCTAATTAGTTTGCCTGTCTTAATGGCAGGCAAAGGGGCAAGTGGTGCTTGAGTGAAAATGTAGATAATTATCTTTCCTCGGTAACCTTTCACTGCTGCCCATGTCATGGTTAAGCATTAGTTTCTAATGTGTGAGGGTCATGCTTTCCTCTCCTTTCTAGTTAAATCTTTAGGATGAAGGCTGCAACTGTCATCAGAGGCTGGAGAGAAAGTTTGGGAAGAGACTGGGAGTAGGACAGCAAACCCTTCGGCTGGAAGCCACCATGCTGTTTACACTCAGCCAGGCCATCAGCAGACTCCCCTCAGCCGGGAGATTCGTGACGGTCAAATCTCTGCAGCTTCTCATTCCTCTCTCCCTTTGATTACAGGGCTTTCTTCTCTCAGCCCCATGTGGAGTCTATTGAACACTCAGGAATGGATGACCCAGGACATTATCACAGAGACTCACGGAGTCCAAAGAACCTTGGAGTCCAGAGAACCTTGAAGACGTATATCAGATTGCTCTACTTGGGGACGTAGAAAATCCCAAGGATGACATGGCATTGGGCCTGGCAGTGTAAGAGGGACCAGCCAGCCCTCGCCTTGACCATCGGAGATGCACAGTAGCATCTGCCGTGGTGGCTGGTAAAGTCCTTTCTCCTAGAATGACTGCAGTGTTTCTCCAAACCAGAGCCAGCCTGAGGTCTCCAGATGAGGCAAGGCCTTGATGACGACTGCTCTTGCCAGGCAGAGGCCTGGTGCTTGGTCCTGGGCTCTGAGGAGTGTGGGTGACAGCAGAACAGGCCCAAGCACACATTGCCATCCGTCCCATGGGCAAAGGGAGTACCCTGCTAGGGTTTGACCTCAGCCAAGCATTAGACCAATGGGAGTCCAAGCAAAGGGAAGAGCGTTGTGTCCACGGGTTATATATGTCCAACCACCAGTCCCCTGGCCAGAGCTGCCATTTGTCTTCTGACTTTGGGTGTGGCAGGGTTTTACTAGTTAGACACTTTTCATTCTTTATGACTGAGTCAACCTTTCATTGACTTAGGGTTTATCTAGCTTAAGTTTCATGTTCCAATGGCTAGTATTTAGTTCCATCTTTTATCAAATAAGCCAGGGTTTTACTGCTGCTTTGAAACCCTGTTTTTAAATAAAACTCATGAATGTCAAATGCATTGGAGTTCATTTTTAGATATTCTATTCCCGCCCACTCAGTGTTGGCTGCCTCTGGCTCCTGCAGAGATCAGTTCCCTGGGGGAAACCCTTCCAAAGGCTGGGTTGCTCTCCAGAGGCAGTGGCCCCCTCACCGAAGTTGACCTTGACTTTAGGTGGTGGGCACACAATGAGGAATTCAGACCATGTGTCATAGAAATGCACACTTGAAACCTACATGATCTTATTAACCAATGTCATCCCATCCATTTAATTAAAAAATGTCAATTTAATATATAGCTCAAACCTCCAAAAAAAAAAAAAAAGGTGTGAATACTTCTGTGTGAGTACTTCCTGCAACAAGACTGTTACATGGAAAACACAGATGAATCTCACAGACAACGGAAACCAGACACCAAGGACAACAAGCTGTGTGATTCCCTCCATGTGAAGTTCAAGATGGAACTGTGTACAAGTGCACTCGCCTGTGAGGTTCAAGATGGAGCTGTGCATAAATGCTCTCGCCTGGGGTGACAGATTACAGAATGGCGGCTACACAGGGGTAGATTTTGACTGCGAGGGTCATGAGGAAGGCTTCGGGCAGGCTGGGGGTGGTTTCCACCTCCCTCTTTACCCACCTTTCCTGGGCAGATAGCTCTACCTGCTGGTGCACACCTGCTGCGGAGGTGTAGTTTGTGTGCTGTGAAATCTCACACACATGCTCCCACTTTCTCGTTTGAGTATAAACTGCATAGAGTGTAAAAATAAATTTTTTAAAAAGTTGAACATTCTGTGACTGTGTATAGCTGTGGGTGTGATGTATATGCAACACAATGTTCTCTAAGGACATCACAGACACCCTGCGGCTTGTCCTGGTGCACATACGTGTCCAATGTTATCAAAACGTAAGCACTGCTCTCAGTCCTCACATGCTACTTAAACACGTGAAAAGTGTTGTTTTTTGTTGTTGTTGTTTTCTTTTAAATTAAAATGAACTATTTCTTCTAGAAACCAGTGGACTTCAGAGTTTCTTGGGTGGAATTAGGTGACACGGTATGGACACTGCAGTCCATGACAGAGGAAGCATGACATGCATGCACACCCCAGGTGTTGTATCACCTTCTTCATTACTTACCATGACCAGTCAGCAAAACCATGTTCATCGTTTAGGCCCTAGGGTGATAAACAGACTTCATTCCAATGAGAATAAAAAGGGCATTACACATGGAACAGCTACCTGCTGTGCTGTATACAGAAAGCTGCCATTCTGGGAAAGGAGGCGCAGAATTTTGTCTTTCATTTTCACAGGAAGCTTCTGAAAGTCGTTACTGTGAGGCCTAACTAGATCTAATATCAAACTGTCACTCAGCGTCTGGGAAGGGCATCGTGTCAATACTGCAGCCTTCCGTGGCCTGCATTCCAATTACAGACTGTCATACTCACAGGGTGCTGCACACGGCTATCTCTGAATAATAATGATATTGGTAATAATTATATTAGCCACCATTTTTATGAACGCTTTTTAAAAAATGGAGTAGGCATTGTGCTAAGCATTTTAAATGTCTTTGCTCACCGACTTCCCATAATTGATCTTGAAGGAGGGATTTGGGGTATTTTATTACACCCATTTGATGCGGGGAGAACAGTAAAGATCAGACTGGCGTGACCAATTGCCCACATTTCCCTGGATGTGGGAGTTTCTTTGCTTGCACCACAAAATCCTGGGCAAATTGCGGTGAGTTGGTCACCTTCTAAAAGTGCCTTGCTTGATATTTAAGCAAGTCAATATCAAGAGAGGGATGTACACCTCTTCTGTCCTCAGCTGCTCTGATTTCTTACCAATGGCCAGCCCCGCATCCCAGGTCAACAGGAAAGGCATTTTTTGGAACTTGAGACTATTCTCTCACACGACATAATTGAAAATGTCATCTTGCCTCTTTCTGTCCCCACGTAGCTGAGTGCGTACAGCTGAGCGTCCTTTACACAATGGGCACACGTGTCCCTGACATCGGATGTCCGTGTGACAGCCACTCACTCACCTTTGGGAGTGGGTAGAGGTGACACAGTGGCTGGCCGGGGCCCTGGAGACAGAACTTCAGTGTGTGACACACCACGTCAGCATTCATATCAGCGCTGAGCCTACAGGGAGATGGGCCAGACAAAGGTGACTAAGGTCTCTCAGGCATTAGAAAGTAGAAGAGATTTCAAAGCAAACTCAGTCCCAGAATGGATCCTATGCCCCTCCTTGCTGGGCAGCGTGGCCTGGAGTCCGTCGTGGGTGTGCTGGCTCACAACAATCCCCTGCCCCCCCTGCTCGCACCTGCATTTAGAACGAGGTGCTGGGGGAGTGGAGGGGGTGTGAGCAGCCCTGAGCTGTGTGTCAGCTTTACCAGAGCATGACATTCTTTTAGGCAGAAGCCACAAACAAAATTGGGAAAGGAAAGGTGGACAGGGGTGTTATTTGATGGAAACACTATTTTAAAATTCCCCAGGGATTATATAATAGCAAAAATAAATAAATAAATAAATAAATAAATAAATAAATAAATAAATAATGTATGGTATAGCCTTCAACTCCTACAATTATTTTCTTAGGCATAATCCAAATCATTGCTTCCCTTTAAAGTAAATATTTCTTTACTTTGTGTAAGAAAATACAATTAGGCTGACTTTTCCCCCTGGGGAGGGGGTAAGAATTATACTTTTCAAATATTTCGGTTTATGTCTAGGTTTAAGGGACTAAACCAAACCTTCCATAGCCATTTTCTTCCTCATCTTACCAAGAAGAATGAGCACCATGTGCTGCTTCAAATGAAGGGACAGGAAAGCATGCACTTTGAGTAACTTTTCCAAGTAAATTATTCATTCAAGCCCAACCCAACCCAAACCACACCATACAAAAGCAACAAAAACAAAGAATCCAGAGACAGATTGGTACTACCCTAAGGCTAATCTTGGAAGGACAGTTATAGATTCTAGAAGATATGCCCATCCCCCTCCCCAAACCCATATTAGTTGCTTGCTGAGTTTCTCCTCTCGTGGTGTGCTCCTCTTACAGCTCATTTTAATCAACAAGATGCAGTTCTGGGGTGAGATGGGCCCTGACACTGACAACCTCATAATCTAGTTTTACATGAATCTCAGGTTCCAATAGTAAATGTGGTTCCTAACCCGGAAGGCATCATGCCTCTTCATCATTTCACACCAGTCAATTCTCAGTGATTAATGGGCTATTATTCAGCAATTACACGTCCGACCCACAGGCAAGTCATAGGAAGTAGGACACCTGAGCGTTCAGGTTTATTCTCCCACGACCCTGGGTCATGCAGGGAAGGCTACTTCTAAGAGCAGCCAATCATAACCAGCGACCTCATGCCGGGTCTTCCTATGCCTGGTCTTGACCTCCATTGTGACACAGGTTGTCATAGCAAAACGGATCCTGGTCTTCTGTTTGCCTTACCTGCCTTCCTGGTATCTATTTATACTTCCCTCTCAATCATGAAATTTTGTATTCTGAAACTAGGAGCTCTCAGAGATCAGGAGAGGCCTCAACTATTATACAAAAATTTTTAGAAGAAAAATGAAAAATGGGGTTTCTAGCAATTATGACCCACAAGGGGAAATCATTTATTGCATCGTCTTCTTCAAGTGCCTCCCCCCTCCCCCATACTACAGAGAATTAGTCACCACATGACCTTGAATCACCTCAGAACCATTTCCTCCCCTTCCTATGACCGATCGGGAGCAACTCTCTGTAGGTGGCTTGCTGGGCCCATTCTTTCTTAACACCTGTGTGCATTTGAAGTTGTGGAAGGCACCTGCAGGGCCTGGTACAGGGTCTGTCTGTCTGTCTGCCTGTCTGTCCTCTCTCTGATCCTTGTTCCTATCTGGTTCACCCACTCACTATTGACAAGAACTGGGATATCGCAGCTCCAGGCCTTGCTCTGTAGCGGCTCCCACTGGGAATGCCCAGGCTGCCTCCGAGTCTCTCTGCTCCCTGCCTGTCCCAGAGAAACATCGGGTCAACGTGCCAGTACTCACAGTTTGATGATATCTGGCCCAAATGTGCGAACCACTAGGTAGCAGGTGGCTTTTAAGAACAGCTTTTCTAAGGGAAACAAAGAGGGCAAAGGGAATATTTTTTTATCATGATGAATATAACACACAAGTTGATAATGATCTTTTTTCCTAGGAACTAAGCTGAGTGATTAACTGATCGTTAACGCAAGCCATTAATTGTAAAGGTTGGCAGAATGTTACAGTTAATGTAGCCATTAAAATATCATTTCCATTTCAGGTTCACAGGCATGCCAGGGTGTTTACTGTACATGCTAAAGAGCACTTGTTTATTTTTAGAACGCAGTTAAATGCTTTTATTTTACTTTTATAGCAGCGAACATCTGACTGGGGGTGATCCCATTGCTGAAGTTGAAAGAAACAGGGCTCGCTTTCAAGTACGTAATCTGAAACACTGTTTTGTTAAAAATGTTCTTCCCTGGTGTTCATTTGGGGGAAAAAGACTTTGCCTTGGCTATTTTATTTTTGTGGCTGGTATTTCAGAGATAAAAGGAGACCATCTCTGAGAGGTGTTCCTGCCCTGCCATCTCTCTCTCCATCTCTCTCCATCTCTCTCTCTCTCTCTCTCTCTCTCTCTCTCTCTCTCTCTCTCTCTCTCTCTCTCTCTCTCTCCTCCACAGAAGTGCTCTGTGGGTTGATCTGCCAGGTGAGATGTGTTATCTTCCTGGACCTGTTCTCCAGTTTGTGGGTTCTTGTGGGATCTGAGAATCCCAGGGAGGACCTCAACACAGTCAGGGACAGATGGGCTGACCTGGGAAAGGATGGGAAACCCTCCCAGAAAAGAACTGACCTGGTCAGGCTCATCTCAGACTGGGCTTCCCTTGCTTGGCAGGTAGGAGAGTGAAAACACACAATCAATTCAAGGAACTTTCCCTTGTTCTTCATTTTTACTCAGTGGTAAATAATGTCAACATTTTATGATAAATTAGATACATAGAACTTTTTCTTTGTTACAATAATGTATTAGACTTTGAACACAGTGTGCCTTTTAAAAATATTTTTTTATTGATTTCAGAGAGAGGGATAGAAACATCCATGCTGAGAAAATCATTGATTGTCTCCTGCAGGACCCAAACAGGGGATCGAGCTTGCAACCCAGACATGTGCCTGACCAGGAATCAAACCCTGACTTCCTGGTTATGGGTTGATGCTCAACTACTGAGACACATTGGCCAGGCCACAGTGTGCTTTTGAGGTAGGAACTTGAAACTTCCCCACATTACTTTTAACCTTACAGAAATCTATGCTAATAAAAGGGTAATATGCTAATTAGACCAGACATCTTCTGGACATCCTTCTGGACAAAGCCACAGTGGCAATGGACAAAGGCAGAGGCAGTTAGGGGTGATCAGGCAGGCAGGGAAGCAGTTAGGGGGTGATAAGGCCAGCAGAAGAGGGCAGTTAGGGGTGATCAAGCTGGCAGGCAAGTGAACAGTTAGGAGCCAGTGGTCCCAGATTGCGAGAGGGATCCCGGATTGGGGAGGGTGCAGGCCAGGCTGAGAGGACCCCCCCTCCCATGCACAATTTTCATGCACCGAGACTCTAGTAAAAATAATAAAAAATGATGAGGGAATGCTATGAACATCTGCCTGACAGCAAAATAGATCACTTAGATGAAATGCAAAAACTCCTAGAAAGACCAACTGTCCAAACGGAGTCAAGAATAAACAGACAATCTGAGAAGACATATAACAAGAGATTGAATTAGTTATCAAGAGTTTCCATAAATAAACCAGGACCAGATGGCTTCACTGGTGAATTGTACCAACTCTTTTAAGAAAGCATCTGAATAGACATTTCTCCAAAAAAGATATGCAAATGGCCAATAAGCACGTGAAAAGATGCTCAACATCCTTAGCAATTAAGGAAATGCAACTCAAAACCATGGGAGATACTACATCACGCCCGCCTGGAGATGCTATAATCAGAATGACAACTAGTAACATGCATTGGGGGTGTGGAGAAACCAAACCCTCATACACTGCCAGGAGGGTGGGAGATGGGAAACGGGGCAGCCACTTCGGTAAGTAGTCTGGAAGTTCCTCCAATGGCTAAGCATAGAGCAACCATAGGGCCCAACAATCCTAGGTATGCACTCATGGGAATAAAAAGCGCACACATCCATGTAAAAACGTGTACAGGGACGATCAGAGCTGCATGATTCAAAATAGCCAAGAAGTGAAAGCAAGTCAACCCGAATATCCGTTAACTAATGACCGGATGGACGGAATGGGCTCAGTCCACACAATGGAACATCACTCAGCACACAGAGCAGTGATGTTCTGACACACACTACACAGATGACCACAAAAACCTCATGCAGAATGCAAGAAGCAGTTCAAAAGACCAAGTATTGCATAATTCCGCTTATTTGAAAGGCCCGGAATATGCAAATTCAGAGATAGGAAGTAGATATGGTTGCTCAGGGACTGGGAGGTTGCAGGTTTGGGTGGTATGGAGAAGGGGAACAGGTCGCTTTTGGGTACAGTGAAAATATTCTGAAGTGGACTGTGCCAATGGAGGCCCGTTCTGTGACTAAAACCACCGAATTATACACTTTGAGGGGGCAAAGTGTGAAATATGCGACTCTCAGTACAACTGCCTAAAAATGACATAGGTGCTTGGCCAGGGTGTCTCAATGCTTTAGTCTTGACCCAGAAACCAAGAGGTCATGGTTCGATTCCGGGTCTGGACACATGGCTGATTGCGGGCTCAGTCCACAGTAGGGGGTGTGCAGGAGGCAGCCAACTGATGTTTCTCTCTCATCATTGATGTTTCTATCCCTCTTCCCTCCCTTCCTTTCTGAAATCAGTAAAAACATATTTTTACAAAACGATTATGCTCTTCTCCCTGGGATGCTGAAGTGAAGGGTGACCGGAAGCTCTGACCATCAGACCTCAGGCCCCAGCTTAGCACCTGCTCAGGCTTCTGCCCGTAGTCGGGCTGCTCCCTCACAGGCTGCAGCCTCCTTGTCTGAAAGGGAGGTGGTTCAGTGTCTGTCGGCACCATGCTGGGAGTTTGGGGCGCTATGTGACAGTCAGAAGCCGTGAGAAGCATGCTGGAAGCGAGTTTCAGGTGTGGCTAATGGAGAAAGAACTTGGCCAAGAGCAGAAGGATTTAAAACCGACACCAGGCTATTCTTTGATTAACTTGCAGGACTGCCTGGTGAAACTAGAAGTGTGTGTGAGTGTGCACGTGCATGTGTATGTATGTGTGTGAGTGCACATGTGTGTATGTGTGTGAGTGTGCACACGTTAGGGTGAGTGTATGTGCATGTCAGTGTGAGTGTGTGTGTGTGTTTGTGTGTGTGTGTGTGTGAGTGTGTGTTCTTTCATTCAGAGGTGTGGAGATATAAAGGAAGGTTTCTAATAGATTGTGAATGTCCGATAATAGCAGGATGGATAAGTAATGTGGAGGCCATTTATATGGAGAAGAGCTAGAGGGAGATTAGGAGGCGGGGCCTAGCGCTGTGAGTCCTACTGTGTGCAGACCTCAGCATCCTGCGGGCTGACAAAGAGAAGCCGCAGAGTGGCGTGTACAGTGGGCACTGATGCAAATTTGAAGCCCCCAGGAGGGAGGATTCTGGGAAGATGACAGTTGGGGCAGCAGTTTTGGAATTTCTTTGAATCTTGAACAATTTCTCTCTCTGACATAAAACAACTCAAACCCAGATTGGTGATATTTAGGGCATCATCTTGGCTTCTTCTGACTCATAATAGGAAATTTCAGAGGCTGTTGAGGTACAACGAGAGAGAAAGAGAAGAGAGAGAGAGAGAGAGAGAGAGAGAGAGAGAGAGAGAGAGAGAGAGAGAGAGAAGCAAACATATGGATAGGAAAACCAAAAACCATAAACAATAGTTTCAACAAAGCTAAGTATCTCCAAGTTCCCCAACGTGTAATTAGACAAGGTAAACCACACAGAGCCACAGGCCTTGTGGGTATCAGCGCCTTATGGAAGAAATGGTATGTCAGATAAACCCAAGCACAGGATGATCCCCGAATAACCCAGAGGTGTGGGCTGGGAAGGTGGTGGGCCTGGGAGGGGCTGTGCCCTCTGCAGCCCAGGTGCGGGCAGAGGCTCCAGGCGGGAGGGTCGGGCACCTGCAGTCAAGAAACTGACCAGTGGAGCCCTCTGCAGGACAGAGCACAGGGAAGAGGAACTGCTGGTCTTGGAGCCCACATTGAGCAGGACTGGAGCCCTGCAAAGAGAAAACCAGAGAAAGTGGGCAGGGGAGCAGAGTCAGGAAACCTCAGGAAGCAAGCTGTCTCTCCCCCAGCCCCGCCCCCAACACACACACACACACACACACACACACACACACACACACACGCACCCAGAAACAGCAGAAGCAGGAGCTCTGTGCATCTAGAAAAGCTCCCCAGACCACTTCTTTTTCTACATGAAAACTAATTTCATATAAAAATGAGCAACAGAAATGTATCTAGGTCAACACCCATACAAAGTTATTATAAGAAGAAAAAAGAATAAGGAACAGAACCAAATCCCCACAGATAACAAAAGCATGCCAGAAAGTCATTCCAAAAAGGGATTAAAACACAATATTTCAAAATGAACTAAGAAGCATTAATAAAATGATATAGACATGAAAGAACAACAGAAATGAGAATTAGAAAAACTTAGGCATGGAAAAAACAATTCAGGGAAGAGTACAAGATTATAAATTAAATGAAGTCTGAACTAGAATGAACAGAAGGAAAGGCAATGCTGATGTCTTAGGAGAAATTGAAAGGTGAAAGGGAGGAAAAATGTGATATAAAACAAATGAAGAGATAAAAAGTATTCAAGGTAGAATATTGAAGGTAGGCAAAGAAGATTCAAAATAGGAATAATAGGCATCCCTGAAGAAAAAAAACAAAACAAAATAAGGCAACTGAACAAATACTACCAACTTTCCTGAAATTGTAAGAAATGTATATGAACACTCCTTTCTTCCTCCTCCACCCCCCAATTGAAAGGGTACACTGCATGACTCAAAACATCCATGCACAATAACTAACACTAACACATATTCTGGTCAAGAGGCTAAATTTCATAGAAGAAAGAAAAACAATCCTTTGAGCTTCTAGGCAAAAACAGACTTATATAAAAAATTAGATTATCATTATGCTTTTTAATAACATATTTAAGATACTCCGAGAAAGAAATTATGTGCCAAGGATTTTTATTTCCAGGAAAACATTGACTTTCAAGTATAAAGGGTACAGACAGCTTGTTATCAAACATGCAAGAGATTCAGGGAATATTTCCCATGAGCCCTTCCTGAGGCATGAGCTCGAGGCAACAATTCAACTAGACAGACATGCTCAGAATGGATGAAGGGGACCATCCATCACAGAGCAGCTGATGAAACTAATAAGAAATGAGGGTGAACGGGAATGGGTATTGGATGGAATGGCGATATGCTCAGATAACACAGTGCGATGATTAAATATGAGATGGAAAAAGCATGTGCAGAAAACAATTTTAACTGCTCTCAATGATTATAAAACATATTAATGGTAGTCGTTTGAGGACTGATATTCTGAGACTGTTCTATGTGCAATGAGGGATAGGTAAATGAATAATTATGGGCTATTTTAATTTTATCAATCCCTTTGACCTTGAGAATTAGGACTGGGAAGAAGCAGAAGAATTAGTATGGGAAGAAGCAGATTATAGCTATGAAGAGTACAGATTAAGAAAAATGTTCTGTAGTCCTGAATTTGAATTCCAGGTGTCAGTATGAATGCAATAGAAGTATTATTTTAAAATTACGTATTTTATCTATGTATATTTCCATCATTGTCTACCGAAGAGAAGAATGATTAGCTCAATAGTAATGAGCATTTCTAGGCACCAGATTGTGGAAAATATTATTTTCCACCTGAAAAAAACAGGGCTTCTAAGGGAAATGACTAATGTCAAGCCTGGGGCTGGCAATGTACAGAACACCTGTCATACCAGTTAGTGAGGTGACCTAGGCCCACGTCAAAGGCCTCAGGAGCCAACGAGAAGAGGGTCAAAGTTGGACAATAAATGAAATAGACTCAAACTCATCAGATATGTAAAATTCATGAGTTTGTGACATTTTAAAGAAAGCCAATTGACTACTTTGGGATGATACTAGAAAGGCAGCGAATTGTTTGGAAACTGGCAAATAAAACAAAATAATTAAGTATTTATCCTCCTTCCCTGGTATGAATGGTATCATTAGGGACTCTGGGCAAAATGCCTTTAAAATATTTCTGAAGAGGAGGGAAACTGTCTCTAATATACTTCAGTTACTCAATGACATATATAAATGAGAGATTAAAATAGCACCATTTTGCAACCCACTGTGAACTTATAGGTCTGGTCATTGAGCATCAACAGCTGCTAACATCACAAAAAGAGAAAAATGAAAACCACTTCTGCTGGCCTCCAATGAAAGAAAACACCACACATATAGTCTTGCCAAAGAAATCAAACTGGAGTCTGATCTAGTCTCTGGACATAGCTGCCAATTTTCAGGAAATACAGAGCACAAAGAAACACATTCAATTATTCTGTAGGGATGCATCAGCAAAATCCAGACTATGGGAAACTCTTCAAGGCATATTCCATAGCTAAATTATAAGGAAAAGGGAGGGATGAGAAAGAAGCTAGTAGATTAAAATAGACTTAAAAGACACATCAAAAATTTTAAAACTGGTCAATGCCCACTTGGGTGATAACACTACAAAGCAATGCAAGGAAATGATTACAGTAAAATTGAGGACACGATTTTTTTAGGGAGAAGGAGGGATTTATGGTGGCTTGGGGTTTGTGGATGGGGATTCCAGAATGGCTACCTATCCGTTTCTTCTTGATCTTAGCTATGTTTGCAAGTATACATTTATTTTGTGTAATTTTCTACATTTGGTTTACCAAGAAAATTTTTTTTAAAAAAATCACCCATAGAACAATACTATTCATTGGGTCTAGGTTATACAAATAAAAGTGAAAGTATAAGGCTTGACAAGAACAAGACCCATTAAGTTCATGTGTTTGGCTCCCTCCAGAGAGGTAGGTGGATGTAACTGGTGGTTGGGGAGACCCAGTGGTGTCTCAAAGTTGTCCTAATTAAACAAAAGCAAGACCTAATGTATGTCAACATCTTAGCAATGGCCAATCTGGGACCTGGTAAACACGTGTGTTTGTATGGTATCCTCTCCCAGCCTTTAGTTTTGAATTTTAAACGTTTAGCTTGTGAACACATATTGTGACTGCATGCAAGAAGTTCTCTGAAAACACTTTGGTGCAGTTGGCCGAATGCTGTATAAATCGAGGATACAATCACCTTTAATCCAACTACTTTTACTTATTTATTTAGGGAAAATAATGTGGGCACCCCGATGAATAAGTTCCTTAACATTAAATGAATGAAATCTTGACTGTCAAGGAAATTTATACATTATGACTGTTCACCTAACAGTATCTTGAAGAAATAAAAGAATATTTTCTTTCTGCTGAGGTTGAAAAACAAATATGTGACGTGTTTAAACCACCAATCAGCTCCTTCCTTTTGCAGGATGTGTAAGGGATTTTATTGAGATCCAGTTCAAATGGATGGAATGTTCCCAGGCTACCTTCCCCTTTGGGCTTTGAGATCAGTTGTCCTTCAGCCTAATGCTTCATGTTGGATCTGTGCATGCATCCAGGTATGTGTATGTGGTCAAATGAACAAACATTATTGAAAACTGTTCATTATTTTGATCATGATTGGCCACCATTATTCTGCCACAATGGGAAAAGAATGTCAGAGGATAAAACTTCCTGGAGTGTTTGTTCCCATTTCTATGAGCACCATAAGAATATCAATAGACAGAAATAACACGATCAGCTTCTCCTCCCAAGGTGCAAACTCATTAATGAAGGCCCATGATGACCCACAAGTAAGAAATAGCGGGGGCTCTCAGCTGCAGACCTGTTTCCATATTTACCTGGCAGGTAGCTGCACAGCCTCTCCATGGAGGCCTGGACTGTGGAGTTGTGGACCTGAGCCAGCTGTTCGATCACAGACACCACCAGCACACAGCCTGTAGGAGAGAAGACCATGTCAGCAGGCCGCACAGAGCCTGTGCTGGGGAGTCCGGGGAAGAAAGGGGCAATGTGTGTGTCCCTCAAGAACACCAGCTCTTTCCAAAGCAGAGAACTCCTGCTTGCCATTCACCTTCAACAACCTACCAAGGGCAGAATTCACTGTGACTTGTGGTGAAACGTGATGTGTGGTAAGAAGATGGTGGGTTTGGGGTTAGAAAGGCTAGTTGTCAGCCAGCTTTGCCACTTGTAATCTACGTGACCTTGAGGGAGTCTATGAATCATGCTTTTTTCTTTTTATTTATTTATTTTATTTTATTTTTTAAGTTTTATTATTACATGGGAGGAAGGTGTCATCTAAAGGAAGTCGTGCCAGGGTTGAGTCTTGCACCTAAATCTTGGACTTACCATCCAGACTGTCTAAGCTTTGGTTTCCTCTCTGCAAAGTAAGTCATAACACATTTCTCATGGGGATACTGTGAAGATTAAATGTGATAACTGTGGGGAGCACAGGAGACTTGGTTGGAAAGTTTATAAGGAGGAAAATTCTGAAGAGCACTGCGGGGCAGCGCTCCACAGAGAGAAAGGAAACCGGTAAGAGCAGGCCTTGCCAACAAAGACACTGCAGCACCAGACGAGGTGCGGGCATCCACTGCTCTGTGCCCTCAGTGAAGCCAGGCAGAGCTGGGCGGAGCAGATCTTAGCTGGTTTGACCTTGAGAGCCACGGCCTCAGTCCTCGGAGAGCAACTCCTGGCAGGACCTTTATCCACGCCCACTTTCAAGGTCCAGTAGATGTGCTTTTAACCTGGTCCCTGCACCAAGGGTTTTATCACCTTACAATGAATTTAGTAGCTGATACTTATTAGCATTTTATGGTCGAGAAAGCACTTTCATATATATATATCTATATTTTTTTTATTTTAAAAATAAAATTTAAAATAGATGCAATGCAATCTCATTTTAGAAAATTTTAAAAAGTATATAGAACAGCATAAAAAAGATGAACGTCACTCAAATCACCCAGAATTAAACCAATTTCACTTTTATTTTAAATACATAAAATATGTTCAATACATGATAATATTTTCACCACATAGAATACACTTTTACAGCCTGACCTGCCTCTGCTCTGCCTGTTAAGTTAGGTGGAACTAAATGAATTTTATCAGCAGGTGAGAATCAATTACAAATAATAACGTTGCATTGTGATAAGAGTTGGCAGTGGGGTACAGTTGAAGAAGGGGGAGGCTTTGAAATAAGAAAAACAGACTTGGATTCCACTCCTGGCTTTGTCACTCACAGATGGAATGCCTGTAAATGGGTTACTATCCTGGGACTCCGTGTGTAAGAGCTGAGAGTTAGCGTATCCTGGGGTGGGGGTGGGGGGGTGACTGGATCTTCCTCTCACTCGGGGGCCTGACGGAGGCCTGGTTGCAGCAGGGGGACTGGAGGAGTTTGCTGACCTGATGTGAGCTGACGGGGAGGCAGCCACCTGAGTGACGTTGCCCTTGGCAGTTGCTGGGGTCTCCACGGGGGAGGACTCACGGTGCACCTGCTGCTGCTCTGGCTCAGGGACCTCCCGGCGCGTTGTTTATCTTTGTTCTGGTCTCATCACAGGATGTGGCTCCCTGCTCACCTGGTGTGAAACAGCGAGTGCCCCTTCCTGAGTCAGGACCGAAGAAGCAGGAGGTGGGGGCAGATGGAGATCCTGCACAGTCACTGCCTCAGAAGGCGTCTTGTCAAGGAGCTGCAAGCGGGGCGCCAGAGATGGGATTTCCAGAAAATCTAAGCAGAGGAGGGGGGTGGAGAGCATCCCGGAGAGGAATGAGGCTGGAGGCCCGGGAGAGCGTGGCCTCTTTCTCCACACTTTCCACAGTTAGTGGCACGTGTCCTTTCTCTCTGGTTCCTAAAAGAACAGTGCCTCACAGTGGATAGACTTGGTGAGGTCAGGGAGCAGGAGTATGGGTGAACGGGGAGCAACAGGGGACTCTTGTTGGAATTTTCCTCCGGAGGCTCCATAATCAGGGGTCCCAGTGACCACAGATCCTGCACACCACACCATCCCCTTCCGCTAATGGGCTGGGCTGCTCAGGACCAACTGAACTTCGTACTTAAAGACATGGGCTTTTCTTGTACTCAGCAGAATCCCACCCACAGTTCATTTAAATAAATATATATATACTGTTTTTAAAGGGAATGGAGAGGAAGAGAAACATCAATTGGCTGCCTCTTGCATGCACACACCCTCTACTGGGGATTGAGCCTGTAGCCTGGGCATGTGCCCCAACCATGAATCCAACCGTGACTTCTTGGTGCATGGACCACACTCAACCACGGAGCTACACGGCCAGGGCCCACCACGGGTTCCTAGACTTTCCTGACTCCTTATCGCTGCAGGCTGACTGACATTGGAAGTCACTAGATCAATAAAAAGGAGCCCAGGGAAGAAGTCAGTGTCTCTGTAACCAGTGGGTCTTGGCACCGTCATCTCTCACGTGCTGACCAAGGGCGCCTTGGGGAAAGCAGGCGATGGGGCTAAAATCCATGTGCGCCCCGGTGGGGCCCGGCTCTGATGTGAGTTCTCCTCATTTCCCGTGGGCCCACTCCTCTCCCCGGCGATTGCTCATTCAGGGTCTACAGTGAGGCACGTCCCGAGTCCCTCAGTGGCAGGAACGGAGAACGGGCCCTGCTCTCCCTTCTAACAAGAGGCTGCACCGCCCTGACAAGTAAAGAATGCTTTCCTGGGGAGAGACGCACGGGCAGAGCGATGGCTCCATTACAGACTGTGCTCCGGCTGCTAATACAGGTCTGGCTCTGCTAACTCCAGTTTGTCCCAGCGGCTGTTCATTAAGGCGGCGAGGACAGCGGGTGGGCGCTGTGCGTTCTCTCCGGTCACCGATCACCGTCTGCCATCGCAGGACGAAGGCTCCTCTCGCCTGGCGTGGGAAATAATGAGTCTAATGGAGCCGACACGCCGCTGCGGCAGGAGAGGCAGTGCCGGGGCCGAATAGAGACGCCCGCACAGAGGCCTGCTCCTGGGCGCAGCGCGGAGGCTGCAGGCCGGCCGCGGCGTCCTTACACGGACACGGGGCTCTTGGAGCGCTGGTTCCACTCGGATCTGCACTGCTGGCAAGGCAGCCAGCTGCAGAGAGCGGCCTGCTAACACCCGTGGGTCTGAAGCCACACTCCACCGAAAAGCCTTGAAAGCACCTGGCAGTTGTGAGCCTGGCTCCCTGAGACTGCACTTTTTCCTTCACTCAAGAAGGAGCAGAGTGACTCATTCCACGGTGAGTGTCCTTTCAGCCTTCAACGGGTATGGCATGCATTAGCATCTCATTCAAACCCCACCGAGGTGGAGGAACCACTGCTCCACACAGTTAGGTGCACCGGAGGGGGGCAGGAACCGAGTAGGTATTGGCTCAGTCCCTTCCAGATTCAGGCGCTGTGCTGGGCAGTGAGCTCAGGCTGAGAACACACAGGTATGGCTCCCGCCCTCTTACAGGTTATGTTATTTGAGGGAAAAGGGATCATAAGTAAGCAAACACAATTATAAATAATTTGGGGTGCTCTGAAGAGAAGGAGCAGGGTGAAGTAACAGAGGGAGTGATGAAGAGGTGGTGTAATCCTTCGTAAGTAGAGCCGATAGAGGACACTTCTTAGAAGAACACATAACAAATGGCTAATGGAACGGAAAGGAGAAAGCAGAGTGGGAAACTGGAGCAGGCTTTGTGGCAGGGGGCAGTGGTGCCCACTTCAAAGTAATGAACCTGGTGCCAGTAGGGGGTGTGCAGGAGGCAGCTGGTCGATGTTTCTCTCTTGTTGATGTTTCTCTCTCATCAATGTTTCTAGCTCTCTGTCCCTCTCCCTTCCTCTCTGTGGAAAAATCAATAAAATATATTTAAAATAAAAAAATAAATAAAATAGCTCGTAAACTTATCTTTGAAAAAAACTGTAATACCAACAATGTTTTAGCTTTTCTATGTTGTTTTTTTAACTGCAGGTATTTAGAGTTTTCACTACATCTGTGGCCTTTCACAACCCCCCTGAAATATCGTTTTTATCAGAAAACGCTCACTGGGTTCCAAAGTGCTAACTCTCCCAAAAACACTGGCAATGCTAATGGCACTACATCAGATGGCTGCTGGTGAGAACAAGGCTGAGGGCATTCGAAGGAGAGCAGGGCCCAAGCCAGGGCAGGGAGAGACCAAGAAGGCTGTGCTGAGAGGTACAGGATGGTTGGCTTGGCTGGTTTAGAAATACATAAAGCATTAATGATAAAGAAACAAGAGTGAAGACACCAGAAGCCATTCCACCCTGTTATGCATTCAACACCTACTTATAAGCACCTACTATGTGCTCAGAGGAGACCAAGGTGAGTAAGAGAAGTTACAGACCAGGAGGAAAGACTGATGACTAGAAGAACGATCTGGTCATTGCAGCCTGTAGGTGCTGGGTACAGGGACCTGTTAGAGCTTTGGGACCACAGAGGAGGAAGGACGTGAACTCTGTCCTCGTCTCCTGGCGGAGCTGAGCCCTAAGGGACGAGAGGACCTCACTTGACAGAAAAAGGCAGGAAAGGCCTTCAGGAAGAGACCTATGGGTGAGAGAGAAGAGCTGGCCAAGGCTCCATGCTGTAGAGTCCAGAGTGCAGATCAATGGCCTTCAGACATTTTGCTCTGAGCCCCCCTTGAAAAAATGATATACCTCTTCCACATATTAATGGATGTTTAAGTATGATTAAATATATATCAATTTAAATAGCTGCAAAAGATATAATTCCAGGTAGACTGTAGATATTACAATAGAAATAATATATCAATCTTCTATATATGTCCAAAGAAATCTAAATATGATGGTGATTTATATGTATTCTTATCCACGTTCTTTCACATTGAGAAATGTATCTTGATAATTCCTCTCTTTGAATTCATATTTCAATGAAAAGTCTACTCCTTTGTATTTTTCTTCAATTATCAAATTTTATCCCAATGGAATATA